AGATCTTATCGTTTATGCCATAAAATAACATGCGCGGGTTTTTTACGTAAAATCGATAGAGATTAGAATCGTATATACAGTACGATTCCTGAATTATTTTCCGAATGATGAGCAATAATCGATAGACTTAAAGGTAATGGTCTTCTCTTTCGTCAAGGGAACACTTAAACTCGTATTGGACGAGTTCAGAATTAGAAACGCTAAATCACCAGCGGAAAAAATTGCATCACTTTCAATGGATACGTATATAGATACCGATATAGATACGAGATAAAGTTTATGTCTCTTCAATAATTCTCAATGTAAATGGTGTTTCGCTGGCAAACATCGCATACTGACGACCACGTGTCGTAGTTTGATGGTCAACAGCTGACGACAATCGCAAACATCTTTATAAAGACACCGTCGTTGAACACACATACCGCCATGAAATTCACGCAAAAGAGGATCATCTTCACGTCAGTCACATCGCCCACGATATGGCAGTTGTCCCGAAGTGGCAATTTCCGAGTTCGTGACACGGATTGGAAAAAGAACGAAGCGTAGAAAAGAAGTAGCTGGAAAAATTGCATTATATTTTCCCAATTCTTGCTTCAACAGTATGTGGCAAATATATTTCGCATTTGATCTTATAGAATATCCGGATATTTTCACTCTGTAACCGAACAGTCGACAAAAGTTTTTCTTGTAAAACAAAATTGCAAAATCGTTATGCAATTATCGCGGAGAATATATATAAAATCTAAAGATACATAATAAATATTTGTGCTTATATGTACAAATAATTTGCAAATGGTGCTCGTAATCTCGTCTCTCGAAAATTATGAAAATTGTGTACATAAAATTATTTGATTATCACGTATAGCATGATAACGAAGTATAAATGGAAAGCAAACGAAGATTAAATGTTTCAACAAATAATTCAATATATACATATACATAAATATATGGCTTTCGAGAAAACCTCTTATCTCGCGAAAAGCGTCTGGTAACATTCATCATATTTATTACCGTACTAAACTTTCAATTTAAAATTAAAAAATAGTGAACATAAAAAAAATTACTATCAAATTAATTATAATTAAAAAATTAATAGTAAACAATTATTTTTATGTTCTTAAATTGTCAAAATATAATTATCTTATTTTTTATAAAATTGACTATCAATATTTTGATAAAATTATATTTAATCATAAAATTATGTAGTCATTTGATACCATCTATATTTATTTAAATAATTAAATTGATCATGATTTCTTATTAGTCTCTTGATAATGTATAATAGCTAATGTATAATACACAAAAGCACTCAACATTTGATGAAAATTACTAAATAACTTTTAGTCAACGTAATAGCAGAATAGCGTGATTCTTCTTCCTAATTTAGTGGTCATATTTATTATTTATATCCTGGACGTACATTAAGAGACAATCATTTTGCAATAAATGGAAAATAGAATCGTAATGTAAGATTAATTACGAGACGAGACAAACTTTAAGTAGAACGACAGTTAAATTGTTCCGACACTAGAACTGTCGAGTAAAGAAGAAAGATAATACGCGATTAATACTCATTACGATACATCAGAAAGATTGTGCGGTTTAGAAAGTTTTCAACATTATCATCTTTAATATGCTTAATTAATTCTCTCACCACGACTTTTATAAAGTTTAACCTTCTTTATATTCCAGCGGTCTCTTACATTAAAAATTAAAACAAAAGAAACTTTTTTCAAAATATATAAAATTAATAAAACATGAAAATTATTAAAGTACTAAAACAATAATTCAATTTCCCTCTAGAGAATGGAGAATTTACTTGAAAGTTTTTTTTTATAATTACAATCACGAGATACGTATAATATTACGGTATTTCGTTAAAATTTCCGATTATGCATGAGAGAAAGTGTATTTTATGTTCTTTCGTACGCGCTGCTTGTTTGAAAGGGCAATCGTTTATCGATACACACTTGTTGCAGATTAAAAATTGATCACGACCGTGGCAACCGCGAACGAGTGATCCAGTACAGGGTCAAGTGTATCAGGCATATTTCCAACTATTTGCACATCCATTTCTACGAATCACGGCGGAATATCGGACATCAAGTGCATTTCTCTCTCTGTCTCTCTTTCTCTCTCTTTCGTCTGAATAAAAATACAGTACGCTAGAAATATACGTTAAACGTTATATATGGATGAATAATATTCCACGACGAGCGATCGTTATTGCGAGATGCATTAGCAAGGCATAATTGAGTTTGAAGCTTTTCGGAGGCACGGATAATATAATAGCGATTAGATTAAAAACCATTTTACAGACATTACACCTTCCCCATATATGAATATATAAGTTATATGGATGTACTAATGTTCTTAGATATAATTTACATTTTATTTCTAGTCGCAATTTCAATATTACGGATAAAACGTAAATAATAGACGTAAATAATTATATAATTGATGAAGATATAAAAAAACTTTATTAAATCGAAAATTATGTAATGAATACATAAAACGATTTATAATAAGGTGTTCCAAAACTATTGGTTGTTTAATTAATGGCAGAATTTTTAAAGGTAATTTTTTCTCGATAAAAATATTGAAAAGCCATCGTTTATAGAATTAAACTTTTTAATTTTTCCATCATATATATTTTGATAACTAAATCTCAAATTAAAGTTCTATTAAAATAAACCCCACTTAAAATTAAGTGAACAATATAATTATATTATCCTTTTTAGCTCCCCAAAATTCAATTTGCAAAGAATTTCTCTTCCCTTTTACTCAATAACTAACGAACTCAATTCAACTCGAAAATTCTTAATGCCTCGATATTTACTCTAAGAAAAAATTGAAATTGCTTGGTTAATCCGCCACTAATTGAACATTCGGTGGGTTTTCAAACATATGAAGACGATGTTGCATCGTCTAGCGAACTTTAACTATATACACGCACTACCGCGCGATCGAAGCTCCGTAAATGAATTATGAATGCGATTCAGCTCCGGCGAATCTATTGGGACAGGGTCCGCCGAGTGACGTGACCTCACGCAACATGCAAACTGTGTTGTAATAAGTTTACAACCGAATGATAACGACAGGGAAAAATTGATTATGAGATAGTATACTCCGCGCATTCTTCTTGAAAAGAGACGACTAAGAAGTAAGAAGAGATCGCAGAAGACGGTATACTCCTGCCGGAAGCTCTAATAAATGGACAATCAAAGTGAAAAGAAGCGTCAGCGACCGTGGCCTTCTGGGAAATCTGAGGAAGCGGTTGGAGAAAGGGTGGAAGCTCATGGGTAACGGGTTCAAGGCCAAAGTCGCGGCGCGACGCGACGCACGGCGCCGCGACGCAGGGTGTTACTTTGTCTCCACGTGCGGTAACCTTTTTGTTCCGGCGAAACGCACTGGACATGACAATCATCGGGTGACTTGTACATTGAATGTCTGACAATGAGTCTGACATTAAAATAATTTTTTTTTCAAATTTCAATTATTTTAAAATATCGTAATCCATTTTAATCTCTCAATATTTTTAACATTGAAAATATCTTAATAATAGAATCGCGAAAATTGATATTCTGTGAAAAGGTAAAAGGTCCATTAAATTTTAATTTCAACAATGGTTATATATATATTTTTTTGATAATTTTGGCGACATGAATTAACAACTGTTTTTAGCTATATCTATATGGAAAAAACGAGGCGTTTTTACCAGTGTTCAAAAATATCTTCAACAAAGTGTTTAAAAATATATTTCAAAAATATTAATTAAAGTTATCATAATAACTGTTTCTCTTTGAGAACTTTACAAGCTGTTTTTTAGTTTTGATATAAAAATATCCGAGTCTTTTCACGTGAGAATAGATCAGTTTGTCAAACCTGCTGGAATTTCGTGGTTTACCACGTGGTATTTATTCAAACATACGAACTACGGTTTGACAAATCTGATCTGTGCTCATGTGAAAAAACTCGAACACTTCTATGTCAGATCTGTTCTCATGTGAAAAAACTCGGACTTCTATGTGAAAACTGAAAAATGGCCTGTGTGTCAAATTCTCTTCAAAGCGAAACAGGTATTCTGGTAACTTGGACCATATAGTATTTGTACGTGATGTTTGTTGAAGATATTTTTAAACTGGGTAAACAAAAAGTTATTGCGACTCCAATTATGTTTTCCGATTGATAAAAATAAGACAACGCAATAAGAAAAAATAAAATTGTTATATAAATTTAATATTATTATTTGTATTTAATTTACACAAAATTTGCTAAGCGCCATTTTATTCATGCCACGATGATGTGTTGCCAGATAATATGAGTATATGAACAAATTTTCACATTCGTACATTATCCAATCGCCAACTAAATAAATAAATTTCCGAGAATCGTCTCATATCAGAATGCAGAACACGTTAATAATTCGATGCATTTGCACGGCAAAGTCAATTGTCAATTAATTAATAAACGGTTTATTTCTACCATTTTCAAATATCAATGTCAGAAAATAAAACGCATATTTTTGCGTATGTAATATATTAATAATCATATTATATATATTTATACAATATTAACTTTATTAAATTTTGTTTTAGCCTTTCCTACAAAATTATTATTTAGGAAAAAAGCCTGGATCTTTTATACCAAGCTTAAATTTCAGGTTTGATCTCTTTTCATTTTCGCAATTAAACGGAACGTGTATGACATTTAAAAAAAGCGAATGTTTGTTTTTGATATTGCAAATGCTCCAAAAAAACCACAAATTTTCCCGAACGCGCCGTTAAGTCGGCATCGTTGTTTGCGTTACGTACCCATGTGTCGAAACCATAAATTGGATCGAGTATCCAATTGAAACAATAGATTGCAAAAATACAAGCTTGTCACATGCACAACGTGAGTCTCGTTCTCAATTAGTCTCACCGCATTCGGCAAACAAAGAACGAGTTGTAAAATGGACAATTTACGTGTCTCGACAAATTCAAGAGACGTATACGTACCTTGAAACGAATCGATATCCTGATGCGTGGTCGTAGAAGGTTCAATGTTCTTGCAGAAGGCCTTGAGTAATTTCTGTCTCTCTCTCTCTCAAGGTACCGTACCGATATGCGGGTCGACCTAGAATATTGCGTGCATCACATAAATAAGTAATATAATCATGGAACACAACAAAGGCTGCGAAATCTCATTAACGAAAATTCATTTACGAGTATTTCATTAATGAGCGGATAAATTTGTCGTAGTCCGTTTCCTCATGTTACGCAAATCTATCTTACGATTTAATTAACTCGAGAGCTAATTCTTTGATCATACTTTCATTACTAAAGCAATTTACTTCGAAATGCCACTCTCTCTCTTATATAATTAAGCAGTTTCTTTAACTCTCGCTACGTATCATATTTTGTACATGCGTCTGCTTATTAGTATATTTATGGACGCGTTAGCTTTTAACTTGATATGCGCGCTTGTTTGGAAACTTTAATAATGGACTTATAACAGCGGATAATAATATCTAATAATTTATTAATAGCACGCTTAATTATTTAGTAATTTCACATTTTACGTAGCGTATATATCAGAATATTCTCAGCGCTATTAATAATGCTCACGTGTACAATATTTGCATTACATTAATATTTATACATGTATATATATATGCACATTTTGTAAAAATATTTCTGTTTATGTAAATTTTCTCATTGAATTGTGGAAAAAAATTACAAACTCATTGAATTAAAAATTTTGTTTCCACAAAAGTATTTTCTATATAATAATAATTAAAAATAAAATTTATTATTATTATTCTTTCTGTATTATTAATGTGGTTTTCCTTAAATCATGCTTTAATTTTTCTCTAAATTTTTTATTGTTATGTAGAAAACACTATACTATAGAACTGGGTACCGAATTTTCAGTTCAACCAATTCGTAATTTTGTTCACAATTCAAGAAGAAAATTTACATAAACAATATATTTACAAAATATTGTATATATTTATATATATGTATCTGTATATGGGTGCAAAATATTTGGATATATATATATATCTATAAACAATAAGAGAGAACTTTTGATATAAAAATGCAAAAAAGAAAGACACAGCAGTATAGCCTTCACAATTAAAACAATATCTGAAAGCCGCGCATCACGTTGAGCAAATATATACAATCGAGGCAGTAATCACTCGCTCTGGCTCTGGCGTGGCTAACAAGTCACAGTGTGTGCAAATACATTTTTCGAAGATGTTATCGGGCCGATATCGGATTACGAGGTTGCCCGTAATTGCGTGTGTTCTATATTTAGCAGCTGAGTCTCTCGATTGCGACGTTAATTTTCGACCGACCGATTATTTGCGATACACGCTGTGTGTCGTCGTTATGCACGGAACGTCGCGCGAATAGGGGTGGAGGAGAAATGCGGTGCTGATCGTGGGTGTTTCATGGCGCCGTGATGGTGGTGACGCAAATGTACAACATCGAATGCGAATAACCCTTTCGACATTCGCCCCATTCAGCAGCTTTTATGCCCAATGTGTGTGTGCATCGGCAAACAGCGTCGATGAAAAGCCTATAAAAACCACGCGGATAAATCTCATTTTAATGATATATCCTTTAATAAATTTACACGTTACATTGAATTACGCCGCTATTATATTTTAAACCCCGTTAATACGATAAACGAACAATCAGGCATCCGAGCCGATATTGTGAATAATGATCTTCTCTCGCAACATTTATCACTCAATGCTTTAACTTTATAATATATGCTTTAAAATATATTCGACGATCATTGATCAAATAAATAATTCAATGTCTACTAATTACGATAATGATGTATTGATAAAGATTATACAATACTTATATTATAATTGCAAGTTAAACTAAAAAGTTACTTTATTCTCTTCATATCTTTGTTTCTGATTTTTGGAACATACAAATGTATATCTATCGCGGATATTATGTATCATTTTGACTAATTTCTTGATCTAGTCTGAACTATGTCGATTCCATTTATTGTCTCGTGCTTTATTACATTTACAACAATATATTACACACATAATATTTTTAATTTGTCCTACACAATTAGACAATTTTTTATAAGCAATTTTAAATTAGCTCGAATGCCCATCGCAAGAACGTATAAGACGTATAAAACGACGATAGAACGTCGATGAAAAGTTACATTATTCTCTTCATATCTTTGTTTCTGATTTTTGGAAGACACAAATGTATATCTATCGCGGATATTATGTATCATTTTGACTAATTTCTTGATCTAGTCTGAACTATGTCGCTTAAATTCCATTTATTGTCTCGTGCTTTATTACATTTACAACAATATATTACACACATAATATTTTTAATTTGTCCATTTTTAAAGTTACACAATTAGACAATTTTTTATAAGATAAATCAATTTTAAATTAGCTCGAATGCTAGTTAAAAAAGAAATAAAAAAAACATCGCAAGAACGTATAAGACGTATAAAACGACGATAGAACGTCGATGAAAAGTTACATTATTCTCTTCATATCTTTGTTTCTGATTTTTGGAAGACACAAATGTATATCTATCGCGGATATTATGTATCATTTTGACTAATTTCTTGATCTAGTCTGAACTATGTCGCTTAAATTCCATTTATTGTCTCGTGCTTTATTACATTTACAACAATATATTACACACATAATATTTTTAATTTGTCCATTTTAAAAGTTATACAATTAGACAATTTTTTATAAGATAAATCAATTTTGAATTAGCTCGAATGCCAGTTAAAAAAGAAATAAAAAAAACATCGCAAGAACGTATAAGACGTATAAAACGATGATAAAACGTCGGCGAAAAGTTTCGCCGACTTATTTATGGAATGAATGCGAAACCGAACCGAGGCTACCGTATCGAATGAAAATTGGTACGTGAACTCGCAGACGCGATTTATAAGCGATACTCGATCGGATTCGCTTGGGAAATATGCTGCACCGTCGAATTAATCTCCCCCGAGTAGAAGCCCGCTATCCTCGCACTATATAGTAATATAGTCAGTTATATGGCAAATTCGCAAGCTCGATCAGACGCGATCAGATCGGAGGAGTTGGGAATGCTATGTGAGATTCCAGAAGGATCGATATATCGATGGCAAATTAATTAATGTGCGAATCTGACTCTGATTTTCCATCTTACATGCTTGCACAGTTGATCGATAATCTATGTACTTTACGTAAGACATTCTCAAACGAGATTTCATTAAAATGCAAATGAATGACATTAGAGTAATGAAGTAGATGAATGAATTATATTAGATATTTGAAGGAGAAAAATATTAAAAATATTTACGCAATCATTTACTTTTAATTAAACTATTGAAGCGCAATAAGAAAGCAAAGACTTATTTCACAGATTCTATAATCTTGAATCAGCAGTTTCGAATGCTTGGCATTCCTCAACGTGATGAATGTGTCAAAGTAGAATGGATATGCGTGATGACGATGGAGAATCAGTTCGATAATTCGATTTTCCAACCCTTGTCACGTCGACGTTTCCTTTTGGAAAATATTTCGCTACGATTTAATGAGAGATAAAAGTTATCGATACTAAACGCAATGTAATAGAACGCGCCCTTCTATGAATCTCCAAGATCGAAAACTATACAAAAAACTGCTAGATATTTAAAAATAGAAAAAAATAATTTTACAAAATATATATATAAAATTTTCGAAATATTATCAAATTTGTAACAGCATAATGTTTTATATAATTTTAGCTCTATAAAATTTACGCCTTTATTGTTTTTCAAACAGATCCAATTGTGAAGCTGAAATTGCGATTGTCGGAGCTCTTTACCGTTCGCTAATTAGTAATTAGTGGCCACAGTTTATTGCATTGTACCGTGTGTTGACTCCAATTTACGTCGTTGAGCTTTCTTTCAATTACAATCATTTTATTATCTCCCAAACAATCGATAAAATAAAGCATGAGAACTCTTCTTCTTGCTTTTATTCGTTTGTATTGCGAATAAATAATAGATAAATGCATTCTATGCTTTCAAGCACACAAAAAGAAAAATGGGGCTCGCAAGAAATGTATCTTATAAATATAAATAGTATCCTCTGTATTCTGTATTATGCCACTGTTAATATCATGTAATTTCACAAGAAATATCTGCGAAGTTGATTTGATATAAGTCGTACTATTATACTTTGCTGTTGCAGTCAAGTTTTAGTATGCATAAGTTGATTGAAGTCCATCGAAGTTCCTTGTTCCCTCAGTCGTAGAAATATGCAAATGTAACTTTGTTCATAACTCACCGTCGAGATTTTACCGTCGAATGAGAAGGAAAGAGGGGATAATCGAAGTTACAATAATTACAAAGGAATTCAAATTCTGCGCATCCTACGGTTCTTCAGTACAAAGACTACAATGCTATTATTTTTGTACTGAAAGTTCGATCTTCATTAAAATTTATCTAAACATCGTAATGTTAGTTTTAGATACTAATTTGAAACATACATACCTTCAGATGTGATTTGATTAAAAATTAAGACTTTTAGTCTTTATTTTTCTTCAGAAACTTACTTTTTAAACTCAATTAAATTAGATTAACATTTTCAATTATATATTTTCTGGAAATAAATTCACATTCTATACGGCGATCTCATTTAATTAATCTGAAGTGGTTTTTCTTAACGTATTTCCAACTAGTATTCTTTCATGCATATTTAAAATTATAAAAATACTCTTTTATTTTCCCCATTCGTAAGTTTAACAGTAAAATGGAATTCAATGTGACAAAAGACAATTCCCGCGTAAAGAAAGCTTCATTCTTTTATGTCTTTTTCAACAGGACGAGCAAATATTTTTCCTACCAGCTTGTCCCGTTGTACTTTGAGGAGACGAAGTATAGTCCTTATTTTGTCTCCCTTCAGGCTGAAGCGACGAAAAAGTTTAAACAGAGTAAAATATTCTTCGTATAGACGCACGATTAATGATTTCAAAATACGAATATATAAAAGCTAAACAGCAAAATTTCCTGTTCTTTTGTTGTCTCCCTTGAGCCACGCTTCTTATTTAAACATGACGCAGTCGCGGAAGTCGACTAATAGACAAACAGTTATTTTA